TAAATTTTTTATTTTGTTTTTTTATATAAAAAAAAGAATTTTGAATTTATATATTTAAAATTAAATATTGTTGTCCAAAATGTAATTTTCAAAATTACTTTAACAAATTTATTCACAATTTACGGTGCGAATATCGAGTTCCTTCTAAAATTAAATATTACAACTAAATATTATCGACATAATTAATTCCCAATTTTTGCCCCCTCCCGCCCCCCAGGCATCTACGGCATCTCCGCCCGCAACCTCCAAGCCCGCAGCGGCAGCAACACCGAGACGTTCGCCCTCCTCGACGCCCAGGGCTGCCCCACCGAGCCGGACATCTTCCCCGAGATGCGGCTGGATCCGGTCACCAAGAGCCTGTTCGCGGAGTTCGAGGCCTTCAAGTTCAGCAACGACGCGGTCGTCCGCTTCCTGGTCACCGTTCAGTTCTGCCTCGAGGAGTGCCCGCCGGTACGCCTCTACATTTACATATAGATTTCCTTTCACATTTACATTTGCATTTTCTTTTACATTTACATTTGCGCTTCCTTTCTATTATTTGTTCTACGAACTTTTTAACTTTTTGACTCTTTAAGTAAATTTTAATTTCTTCTGTCTTCTCGTTTCTCCGCGAAGTAATTTAGAGCAATTTTAACATGTAATATATTGCAATTTATTAATATTTGTTCGGTCTTTCGCAGGCGCGGTGCGGCCATTCGGACTCCTACGGCCGCAGGCGGAAGAGAGCCACCTACAACCAGAAGAAGAAGGCGGAGGGCCGGGCGCGGAACAAGGAGCAGGCGATCGACAGCAAGGAATACCGGGCGGAGGAGGAGGAGGAGGAGGAGGAGGAGGAGATGGAGGAGGACCCGGTGGTGTACCACGTGACGCCGCTGCAGAAGGAGATCATCGTGGATGGCACCTTCATCTCGCCGCTGAACGATTCGCCGGCGCCTTTGGGTATGTCACGGGTGTCGGATGTGCGGGATTTTTTTTGGGTGGACTGGAGGTTTTGTGGGTCGGCTTCGCGAAATCGGGGAAATGAAGTTATTAGGGACTAATGACGCTATAACGGTGGAACAACGATATAATGAGACGCAGCGGGTCTCTGTCATCCAGCCGGTTACTAATTAGTCTTGACACTGGAGGTGCAAATTAGGGGTGGGACGGGGAGGAGAGGGTGACCCACACATTTCGGTGACCCACACATTCGGGTGAGTCAGGCATGCTCTCATCCCTTTCTTCCGGATTCGCACGATGAGATGCTCGTCGGCGTGCGTTTTCGATCCGAGTAGGGAGATCCCGTTCGAATTCCTGTTACCGCGGTAAAGCAGGACCCAATCCAGGGTTTTCCACTCGAGCGACCCGTTCCCGCAGTGCTGCCATCTCGCGGCGCGCCCCACTACCCCTGGGAATCACGAAATCATGAGACAGGGAAGTCCCCTTAAATTGAGGCTTGTACAGCCACTGATTGCCCTCACGGAGCGGACTTCGGTCATGGTCGTAAACACTGGGAAATGGTGAGGGGGGCAAGTGTGGGGGAGGGGGGCAAGAGGGAAGAGGAGGGGGAGGACAACTGAAATGATAATCCTTTCAAGCCGAATGACCCGTTCCCATGAAATTCTCGCCCTTACGAAGTACTAAGTACTGACTGAAACACTTGAGTTTTCTCGGGCAAGGGGATGTACCCACTAACGGTACTCTACCGTGCCTGCAATCAAGAACTGCAGAGCAGCAATTAATGGGAAAGTCTCGGCATGATGGCAATGCCGATGAAGAGGCCTCCATCCCTCCGGTGCTGCCATCTCCCGACAGACCCACGCATCCGCCCCTTCCCCTTAATCCCTTCATCGACGTCCCTCGGGGGACGCCGGGTCGATCCCGATCAATCGGCCGATATTTTCGCGTGCATCCGCCGCTTTCTCTATTATTAGTGGGTCGTGCTTCCTTCTGACGCGAACACATAATTAGCCGACCCCCATCAAATATTGACGAGAGGAATAACGTGTAGTCGATGCGAGGGTGTCCCTCGACGCTCGATGTTTAGAGGCAGTGCTGTCGTCTGGGTCCAAAAATGGGTAAGCAGGGTAAGCAGGGTAAGCAATGGCAGACTGTCGTATGAAGTTGGTGCAAGTTATTGAACTGGACAGTAATGACTTGCTCCGACCACATTTTTCACTCCCTTCGACGACAGTGTCGGTCGAATGTTTCTCCTAAGCTTTCGATGCGGTTCAATTAGAGGCTTCCGGATTAATTGAGGCTTAGTGATTAATCGAGACTTTGGGATTAATCCAGGTCTTGGATTAACGCGATTGGGAACGGAGATGCGTCTCCGTCGGGGGCGACGTCGCATTCGATGATTTAGGTGGCGGGCTCGTGGGTACGGTCGGTAAATTTTTGCACGACGAATGCGATGAAGTCCTCGGTCGCACGGGGGGGGGGGACAGATGGGGACAGGGACGTGGAAGTACTTGGACGAGGAGGTACTTGAACGCGGAAGTACCGAGGCGAGGGAAGGCAGGCTTCGTCGCGGGCGCTTGGTCGTTGGTGAGGGCGGGCGCGATGGTCGCCGGTGAGGTGCCCTCTCGCGATGGTCGCTGGTGAGGTGCCGTCAGGAGCATTGGGCGCAATTTTGGAAGCGTGAAAGGGAAAGGTATTTAAAGACGGAGGAGAGGATTCAGAGCTTGGGCACTAAAATAGTAAAGGAAGTACGGGGATTCGAATGCGTGCGGCGTTTTGATGCGTTTTGGGGCTGGATTCGCCGGAGAAAAGGTTAACCAGAATGGGTTTTGTGACCGGATGCGCGGTGGATTTTTCCAACCCGATGGTTTAACGGCAGAAAGGAGTCAGTTCGAGTTTCGTCAGTGAGACGCTGGCCGCGGAATCACGCTTCATTCGTCGGTCTCGAATTAAGCGTTGCTGGCTGACCCCGTTCCTCGAGTCGGACACTTTCCATCGACCGAATCCCGCCGATCGCTATCTAGCTCCGCTGCTTTCGGCTCAAGAGTGTCGATCCTGTCGACCGTGAAAGCCTGTGATTAACGTTCGGCAGCCCTCGTCCGTCTGGTGCAAGACAGACGTTCCACGTCCTCAAGGCAGTAATTTTGCCGCGAGATGAATTCGCAATGTGGACGGGTCAGCGACTGGAAAACACGGGAAAAGAATCAGGAGCATTGAATTGCATTTCAGCCGCTAGGCGCGGCGCAATTCACTCCAAGCAGGGGAATTCACTTCACTCCAAGCGGGGAAATTCACTTCACTCCAAGCAGGGGAATCCTCACTCTTCTGCCTTTCTCGAATAGTCCGCGAACATAGAGTGGATTTGGAAAGGTGGAATCTGCAGGTGCTGCCATCACCCGACACACTCATGAACCATCCGTCCATATGGAATCGCGAGAATCGGGCGGGGGACACCCCAGGGCGCAGGCTCATTTTTTTAAAACTGTTTTCCTCACGATCGGAATCCTCGTTCGAACGCTCGTCCCGTTGCTCGTCGTCATTGGTCGATGCCGCAATTAATTTCATTAATTTTACTAATGCATTCTGGGGCGAGATCGGCGTGAACGACACGGAGAAGCGAATCCTCCCTTCACGGAGACGATCTCCTTCAAGGCTGGATGTGAGAAGGGAACCGAAGAAAGGAACCCTGCTTGGCCCAATGCCTCGGAGAATCCCGATTCTTTCTGCATTCATTCGGGGCGGGAGCGCGGAAAACCGTGTTTCTAGGTTTCCGCGCGGCCGCGTCCGACGCCCCTCTGGCCTCGCTGTTCCTCCGCGAAGAAATATTCACGGAATTTATTTTTTTATCCTATTTTTTTCGCATTAGACTTGCTGGGGATACGAGCCATTTCCGCCATTTTCGCCATTTCCGCGAGTCTTCTACGAATTCCCTCCCTTAAAAAAAAATAATTAGAATTAAATATAATATATTTTTTAATTTAATGCATTAAAATTAAATCTTTTTATTTTATATATATTTCCACAAGGAATAGAAAAAGAAGGAAAGTCGTATTCCCTGTAATCCAACCTCGCATATGGTATTGGCAGGTCAATCCCCTGCGGAAATTCGGTATTGGCAGGTCATTGTGCCACTTGCATCGGCGACAGGCGCCGCCGTCGCATTTTCTGTGGGATCCGCTGCACCTTGTCGCCGAAAGTCCCAGCTGCTCACAAACGGCTATCGGCACGAAACCGGATGGTAAACCGATAAGGTGACGGAGGAACCGGACGGTAAACCGATAAGGCTCGCAACATGGGAAACATATAAAGAAAATTGCCCCGTCGACACATTTTTATGAGAGCATTTAGCGCCGAGAACGCTTATGAGATTGCGTCACGGTCATCAGACGGGGATGGGGCCATAAAACATCCTCGAGTGGAGGTCATCGAGGAGGCACTTGCGAAGCGGGCGAGCAGCCGGTCCTCGCGTTGCGATCGAGGTACTTCGAATCGGGGCACATTTTTTTTTATAATTTTCAATTAATTACTGAGAGCGAATTGCTTCCAATTAAATTCTGCGTAACACGGGCGATCATCTTAATTATAATAATCAGATAATGATACCGTGTCGGGCAGGAAAATAAGAGGAGTTTCACGTCTTTCTCCTCGACGACTCGAGACCCTGTGACGCGATTCATCGTCGCGGCCGATTGCGGACGGGCCGTCGTTGACGTCACAAGTGACAGGCGAGCCAATTGACGCCCCGCGTCGTCTCTTTCACGCAGCGCCCATAGCCGTTCTTTCGTCCAGAACTCCGGCTGATGAGACGAAGTGAAAGCTTTGCATCAGACGAAATCATTGGGTGTGGCGCGATCCTCCCATGCGACACCTCCTTTTAGGGAGGTGCCACGGGATGTGTGCTCCCTGCATGTGTCGTTCCTGTTTCCAAGTTTTGGAATTTCTAGATATTTCCCCCTAGATTTCTTGTATAAATAGGACGTCCAAGCATTTACTATTATCATTTTCCATTCGTTGACGGTCAGGCTGTTGGCCAGCTGCCATATCGGCCAGCTGCCAATATTGAACAGCTAAAAAATCTGAAATTCGGAAACATTCGATCAATATGCAGCAGAATAAAAAAAATGTCGTCGCCTTTCAGACGTCCAGAGCGGATCGGTGGGAGGAGAGGAGGTGGTCTGCACGACGAAGCCGGTCGTGATCGCCGCGGTCGTGAGCACGGCGATCCTCCAACTCTGCATCCTCGCCGTCTGCCTCATGTGCATCCACGTCCACCGCGGGAAGAGGAAGGACGGGGAGATGCTCCACACCTCGTCCGAGCTGGAGATCACCTACGGATCCACGACCGGCCTGCCCACGTCCACGTTCGCCGCGACTCGACGGCCGATCCGCAACCCGGCCTTCCGCGAATGATGGACGCCCGTCGCCTAAAGGTAAAACCCGTGACAGTTGTGATATACGTGAAGAAGCGACTGGATTGTTCCCTCTCGAATCCCTCCAAAAGCGTCGTTTTTCGCTGTGCTGTGCATGGCCTCGCCTTGCTCAAGAAAAAGCAACAACCGACGAGCAAAGACGCACCTGACTTTGCTCAACATCCGAGAAAGAAAACCGACCAAGACAGTGTTTACACGTGCCAGTTGCTTCTCCCATCGTTATTGTTCCTGTTTCCCCCCCTAACTTATTGAATGTCCGTAATTATGGCGAGCGGAGCGTCGACTGTATAAAATCGAGAGAGACCGTCCATTGACTTTTCCCCGTGTAAGTTTTCGATAAGGCAATGGTGTCTCTTCTTTCATTATTCTTTCATGTGGGCATCCCTGCGGTTGAAGAGCTACAGCTTTTACCGGGTGCTATGGTTTTAGCATTTTTCTACTGTATGACTCCACGAGCGAGTGAAGAAATGCCTGAAAATGAGCAAATGCCTGGGAACGAGCAAATGCCTGGGAACGAGCAAATGCCTGGAAGCGAGCAAATGCCTGGGAGCGAGCAAATGAATGAATGAATAAATAAATAGTGTGAAAAAGTGGAATCTGGTCTGTCTGATATAACGAAGAACGAACAACCGTTTGGTTTTTATTCACTCTCATCTATTCCAGCCTCACATCAGGTGGTGATCCTACTGTTTCCTGTCGCTTTTAAATAATGGAGGTAGTAATAACGTGAAATTTGGGGGTCACACACACTGTACAACTGCCTGGATTTTCCGTCCTCCTGAATCCTCTCTTGTGCGACTCCATCCGTGGAAGACGCAAGTTTTCCTGGGTCGTCGGAATGTCGGGTCACACGTGGAATGGAACGTATACACTGATATGCAGGAAAACTTGCACGTCCGCCCTCCGGTGCAAGTCTTCGCATGTGGCACGCGGGATTTGCATTTTCGCTCTATGGAAGCGAGACGAGGACGCGTTGCGCTACTGGCGGCAGAGGGGGGAACTTGCCGCCGAGAAGGAAAACTTGTCACTGCGATCACAGGGATGGACACGAAACACCTTCCCCCTTTCTTGTCTCTCAAGCACACTTATACACGTACACGAAAAACAGATAATAATTATTATTTTCGATACATCGACGAGGCGGAGAAGTATTGTGGAAAACCGTGCGCTCCCGGTTTCCCCTCAGCAGCAGGAGTTCCCCACGGATTTCCCCCCGCCGAGGTTATCCGTCAACTTCGTCCCGCTCCCCCTGTTCAATAGACTCGGATCCGAGTCCAGGCTTTCCGACATCTTGTCGCAGATGATGTCCACCAGCCGCTCGAACACGGACTGGAAATAAATTAGGGACGAAAGTTCATACGTGACTTCGTTAACAAAGGCTCCATGAAAGTACTCTCGAGAAGTTTGAGTAATGAAAAAATGTTTCCATCAGAGTAAATTTGCATAATTGGACGGCACATTCAAGATTTCAGAATTCCTTTCAGAAACTTTTAAAAATGTTACAACGCATTTAATAAAATTTCGCGTTTTTTGTAAATCCCTGAAGGCGTCTATGCAAAGAGACTCCCCTCGGTATGAAAGGGATCTTCCCCGGCTTCGTGGGAGAGCGAGGACCGAGATGCACCAGACCAGTACTTTATGCAAGGACTGGTTTCAAGACTTATGGAAAGACCTTGAAGATGCACTCATGCGCACCCGAGCCCAGAATAAATCTTCCCCTCGGGTTAATTGAAATCAGCCGATGACCTCAGATCCATTCACGCTCCAACACTTCTTTCCATTCCCTTTTCCTCCCTTTCTCGTCCACGCTTCTTCTCCTCCACCTCCGTTCTTAATTATTTTTTCCTTTCTCGTTTATAAGAGGAAATGACCGGGGCCTCAGACCTCAACGCCCCTCACGATCCTCGCATTCACTCTCGCGTTTGCAAGGTTCAAGGGCTTCTTCCCTTTCTTTTCCTTGTGGATTTCTCGTCCGTTTTTGGCACGGGCCCTTAGGAAGGCTTGGATTGATGTCAGATTGCAGGAACAAAAAAAGACCTCGGGATTTATGAGTCGCTTCCTCCCCTTTGCTCTCTCTTTCTCTCTCCCAGACCTATTCTTCATCCATCTTCGTTCTTTCGCTTCTTTTCCCCTTTATTTCCCTGGCGCCCGTAAACCTGGCCAGGAACATAGAGCACCCAAAATATAAGGAAACCACTCATTTGTCCTCGTGGAACCTCCGGGCTCACACCCAACGATCATCTCCGGTCTCGATCTGGAGCCTGGACGAGGACGCTTCATCTCATAATTGATTCATCCATCATAATTAAAGCGAGTGCGACTCCCGCAAGAACGCAGCGCACCCTATCGAACACTGTCTGCACTCGAGACTCGCTCTCAAATTCCACAGCTGTCTCTGTCATCGCCAGACTTGCCGAATGTTGCACTTCGATGCGTCCAGCCATCGTTACGGGTGTGAATCCAGCGGAACCGCGTGACCCTTCAAGGACGGAGACACCAAGGTGAATGACATTTTCCGGAATTTGAGAGTACCCGTCCACGTGTCTCTCACGTGTCGCGGACCCTCTGCCCTCTACCTCCCTTCCCTCTGCCCAATCGGGTCCTTCACGGCCTCTGACGTCACGACGCACCGGACCAATCACCTCCAACCTGACCCCTCCACGCGCACGAGGTCCCCAGCCAACCTCCCACTCGTCTCAGAGCGAATCCGTCGGTGCTGGAGGAAAGACGCAGGCGAAAGGTACCTTGACGTTGACGTTCTCCTTGGCGGATGTCTCGAAGAATTCCACGCCGAGTTGGTCCGCCAGGCGCTTGCCCTTCTCGGCGCTCACCAGCCGCTGTTCCTCCATATCACACTTGTTCCCCACTAATATCACCTGAGCATTGTCCCACGAGTACGTCTTGATCTGGGTGATCCTGCACGAAGAAAGCACAGACGCTTACATCTCGATCCCCATTGTATCTATTTTCGTCATCTACGATTTGCATGCTCATCCATCACGTGGGTGTCACGGACGCCCCCGTGAATACTAAATCTCTCTAATCCCATCCAGATTGGCGGAAGAGGTAACGAGAAACGAGCTAGTCTGCCCGGAAAAGCCTCTCGCTCCACTTACTGGCAATTGCGTGATGGCGTCTTAAAAGGGAAATCCGCGGCCCAGCCATCTATCGATTCCCATCGATCTTCTTCCCCTGTTCTTAGAAAAAAATTTTTTTTTCTTTTTCTCCTC